AAGACATCCTGGCTAGATGTCTTCAGGGGAGGTGGGCGGGGCCAGCACACTTGAGCCCTGGGGAAAGCAAAACTCACCTGGGCATCCTGGAGCCACAGAGCCTGGAAGGAGGCAGGGTGGAGCTTCTTACTGCTGCCCCCTGTCTTGACCACCTTCTGGCCCACGAAAGGGGAGACAAGGTGGTGAAACTTCCTCACAGATGGCCCTTCCGGCATCTCTGCAGGTAGAAAGTGGCAAAGGAGACCACACTGACTTAGCTCGGTCCTCCCTAGCACGTCTGATGGAGTGGTACCCCAGGGAGCCAGTCCGGATCACCCACTTTAAGAGTATATGTGCCCCAAACGGAGCCTGACTGAGGTGGGGGAATCAGATCTCAGGAAAGATAGAGCTGGGGCAGGGTAAGGGCCAGCTCTCAGCAATGGTTTCTCTTGCGGGTCTCTCACTCTTATCCAGGCAGCAGATGTAATCAACATAGTGTGCTGGCCTACTGTCTACTTCAATGGAACTGCCGCCTCAGTGATCAGCCACTCATTTGCTTGGTTTCTTGAGACAGAGTCCTGGTGTGTCGCTACCGGGGAGCCAGTACTATGTATTTCTAGCTGTCCTCAAGACTCAACAGCTCTCCCCGTGCCTCAGGCTCCCTCAGGCTGGGATGACAGGCGTTGCAACACCTCCATCTTACTTTTTGCTGGGTATATTAGACCTCTAACTCATCTCCATGCTTTCTTTCTCTGTCCTCCTTCCCAGTGCCACCCCCAAAGCAATCATTCCAATTATCCTCTGCTCACTTATCTATACTTGGATCTGGCTCTCTCAGGGCCACCTCAGGGAAGGGGGACATGCACTAGTTATGAGATCTCCAAAAGTGGTTCTCTAGCTCTGACCACAGTGCTGGCTGGCAGAGCTCAGAACTGTGACAAGTAGACACCAGCCAGGCAAGGAGGCCACCAAGCCGCTTAACTCCTGATAACATGCCTGATGGATGAGAGGCCGCAGTAAAAGCAAGGCAGGACTGCCTGTCTGTCACCCCTCCCCTCCCCGTTCTCAATCATCCAAGGTCACTGAGAGCCACCAGGATGAGTGAGAGAGCCTGAGTGGCCTACATCCAGACGTCCATGAGTAGGAGTTGAGCCCCACCCGGCAAGGGGCCACCTAACTTTATCGACCACTCACCAGCACCAGGCTCCATGAACTAAGGTGAAAACTAACAAAGGCACATGGCTGGTAGTGAGTATTTCAGTGTTTCTAAAAGCACGGTTGGTTGGTGTTGTTGTTTGTTTTGTTTTGTTTTTGGTGGTGGTAGTGTTTTTTAAGTCTCACTCTGTAACCCAGGCCTGTCTTGAACTCTGATCAACAGAGTCCTCCTGCCTGAGTCCCCCAAGTGTGAGTACTGGAATTGTAAGTGTGAGCCACATACAACTCCCTCTCTACTAAGACACTTAAAACTTACATTTTAATGGAAGACTTGGGATACCTAGACACCCCATGAATTTTCATAGCTTCGTAAGCAACACATTCAATAATGCTGTTTTTCGTCTTGAGACAGGTTTGCCTATATTCCAGATGCCAAGCTGGCCTGTAGCCCGTGTATGGATGGCCTCCACTCTCATAGTATCACTGTTATTACAGGGCTGAGTTACCACTCCTGGTTTATGCACAGACCCAGGGCACCTTGCAAGCTGGGCTACCCCTCTTTCAACTGTGCTAAATCCCAGGCTTCAGTAATGCTTACGTAAATTAAATTCCTCCACACTTGGATGCCCACCCACATTCTTGGAAATGGGTAAACAGTTCATCTACTCAGACCTTTAGGGTTAACTGCTGGGCCGGAAGGCAGCTTGCCAGTCACTGGCACCGTGACCACCTCTCAGTTCAGAGTCCCCCTGGCCTCCGTCAGAGAAAGTTCTGGAAAAGCCCGCCTGTCCAATGCACCATCATCTTAAATCTCTACAGCCCGATGTGGTTGGTGGCATAAGCCTTTAATCCCAGCACCCCCCAGAGGCAGAGGCAGGAGGATTTCCGGGAACTGCAGGCCAGCCTGATGTACATTTTTGAACCCTGGCTACATCTGAGATCTTGTCTCCAAACAAACAAAACTTGTGGGCATGCTTTGATGGTCAGGAAAGGAATGAGACGAGAAAATGAGAACCTTGGGCTTCGTTGCTAGAGCGAGGTGGCCAGGCTATGCAGGACGCGGTCCGTGGGGGTCCCTGTTCTCCAGCGGCCAGGCAGTCTTAGGAGGCTCTTCAGTGCGTTTGAAGGGGGAGTGAACAGGTCACGAGGGCTCGGGAAGGTGGAAGGCAACGTGATCAACAAAAACAAACACACGATCCAGCTGCGCGTGTCCCGAAGAAATGCTGCTTTAGTTTTTCTGTAATTGACTTTTCACCAAAGGTTAAAAAGAAAAAAAAAAAAAAAAAAAAAAAAAAAAAAAAAAAGAAAAAAAAAAAAAAAAAAAAATCAAATAAAAAAAAAAAAAGTGTTGACAACGTGCATTTGTGTGTGGCCCCGGGAGGGTGGGGAGGAGGCCGTAAACTCCAGGATCCGGTCCCCGCGGCCGCAGCAGGACCGCAATCCGCCCGCGCCTTCCAGTTCCAGACCTGGGGGGAGGGCGCGTGGTGGTGGTGGTGGTGGTGGTGGTGTGGGCACGACAGGTTCAGCCTGCGTGAGCAGGGGAGGCGGGGTGGCCGGAGCCGAAGAGCTCCTGCCCGGGTAGGCGGGAAGCTGCTTCCGGGACTCCAGGGCTCCTCCCAGGGACCGAGCTCGTCCTAGAGGCGGATGCGGAGCTGCGGGCTTCTTTCCGGGAGCTCTGGAGATGGGGACCCTCCGCGATGGAGGAGCTACAAGCTTTTCCCCTGGAGGTGCTAGAGGTGGGGTGCATCCGGAGATGGAGAGCTGCGGGCTTCTCTCCTGGAGATGTTGGAGATGCGGTTCGCCTCGGGAGGGGGAACTGCACGCTCCTCTACTCAGGCTCCTCCCACAAGTGGGAGGGATGCTGCGGCCTCCTCCCTGCAGTGACCACAAGAGGCTCCCTTCCCTGGGCCAAGGTGCAAGCTCTTGCCCTCGCTCGAGGAGCCCTGGGAGCATATTCGCCCGACCCCCCGGCTTCCCCGCCCCATACCTACCCCCCTTCCCAGCCCCTCCGTACCGCCGACTCCCCGCAAGCTTGCCAACTCCTTAGGGTCTAGGAGAGTGGACTGGTACCTAGTAAAGGCAAGCGCTCGCAATCCAGGGGTCTTGCATGGTTCAGGCCAAAACAGACGTTTCAGGTGTTCCGCACTCTTCGCGAAGCTTTTGGTTCTTTGAGACAAAGTCTCACAGTATAATGCGGGCTGGCTTGGAGCTCACTGTGTGACCTTGGCTACCCTTGAACACCTGGATGATCCTCCAGTTTTAGTCTTTAAAGTGGCGGAATTTTAAACACAGCTAACACGCCCGGCCTGAAAAGCTTTTAAAGAGTGAGATTTGTTTTTAATAGTGTTTGAATTTTTACTATACGCTTTAAAAATGTTTTTATTGCGTACTGAAATTTTTACTTGGAAGAATAAAGACGGTAGCAGGTTGTTCAAAGATAGCTAGGACTCCAAGGAGCGTGGGAGCCAGCACTTTCCAGGAAGTTAAGAGACCTTTGGCCAATTCTGAGCAGGCCTACAGGAGGAGTTGGCCAGCACAGGGAAACAGCCCTGCCTCGGGTAGCACTTCAGCTAACCTTCCACCATAGCGCCTGTTACAGGGTGAGAGCAGAAGAAGAGGCCTCTGACGTCTGAGGGGCAAAGGTCCCCTAGGGGCAGAGGGTGAGCTTGAGGACTTGGATTTGTAGGAGGGGGTCCCTCCTTTATGGATAAGGGTTGGAGTATGCTTTCCCTCTCTGCATCTGGCCTCCTCGGAGAATCGCATCAAGGAACGCTGGCGCTGAGAAAATGAATGGTTCCCAGCTTGCTGCCTTCACTTCACATCGTGGGTTTAGTTTGCTGAGCACATGCTATGTGTAAGACACTCTGGAAAATCTTTACTTAGGCTGCCTCGTTGTTAGCTGTGGGAAAACAAGCCAGCCACAACACCCAAATCTAGTCTTTATATGGTGCGGGACGGCCACCCACCAACCCCACAGTTCGCCACAGTTTTCTTGAGTGCGAGCAGCAGGAAATATAAGATAGAAGGATTTAGAGTGTGGAGATAAACAGAAAATACAGGATAGCCTCGAGAGGGCCTGGAACCTATTCCAACAGGCCCTGTCTGTCTCTGCCCTAGGGTATTTATAGAAATGCCAAGGGGTGGAGCAAAAGACCTCCCCCCAGCACAGCCAAGTGCAGACCATCTTAGACACCTGCACTCAGGCCCGTGGTCCAATCATCCTTTCTATGCAGACCTGCTGGGTAAAGCCACGAGGAACCTGAAAATGGGCTCCCACAATATGGGACTTCTGTGCCATGGCGTTATAGACATAAAGCCATATTTCATAAACCCTGATATGTATCTGAGTCACTTGGAAACGTTTAAGGGTAGATTATGAGGAATCTGTGGCCGGGCTAGAAATGTGCCTTTCTGACAAGCCCCCCACTGACGCTGCTTGCGCAGGGAGCACACACACTTCTGGCTTGCAGAGTGGTGCTAGGAGGTCCCGTTCATTGAGGGAATGTTTGAGATACTGGTTATGCTCACAAGCTAAAGATTGCTCAGCTCAGGCTGCACAGGGGCGCCCCAGCCTGTAAGTTTCTTGTTCTTTGGGAGTGGGATTCTGGAATCCAGGAGTCAAGTTTTATATCTTGGTTCTATAGTAGTTCTGTGACTTTTAACGAGTGACTTGAAATCTGTATCTTTGTGTGCAAATCATGATTGCAAAGATGTACCAATGTTTTCCTGAGGCTAAAACGGTCAGAGTCTAGCAGGTAGTAAGGCTCAATAAGCAATAATGCTTTTGAGTAGCAGAATTTGGTTGAGGATAATCTCAAATTAACTGATTATAATCTGGATTATAAACTGATTATAAATTATAATTATAAACTGATTATAGCTGGAGAACCAGCAATAATGGATATGGAAAGGGAGAATGCCTGCGCCCCCACGTGGTGAATGTGTGAACTGCAAGCACAGTGCTTCCTGGGTATTCAGTCCTAGGGAGGGAGGTAAGTACTTGTGGTCTTCCACCAGCTATGACCTTAAGGAAGTTCTGTGGATGGCAGCACTAAAGGATTTGGATCTTTTGATGATCTCTGCGACCTCTATGGTCTGAGTTTCCTTTTTCATGGCTAGATTATCTTCATTCTCCGGTCTCCCAGGCCGGCTGTTGGAGACCATTGAGACACTAAGTTTCCACATTCTAAACAACTGAACCCCTGTAACCCCACTAAACTCTCATAGGCTTGTACCTCCAGGAAGGGATGGAGGGATTAGCAGAAATTATCCAACCCTCATTAAGCTAAATAAGGCTTTCCTCGGGCTCCATTTGTCCCACCAAGTGCTAGGGCACCCTAGACAGACTTGAAATGGTTAATCTGACAGCCTTCCAAGCCCAGACTATACCAGAGGCTCAGAACTCAGGCTGGTCTTGAACTTGTGATCCTCCTGCCTCCACCTCGTGAGTGCTGGGGTAACAGGTGTATATCACACCTGGGTTATGCAGTGCTGAGGATCGAACCCAGGGCTTCATGCGTGCTACGCAAGCACTTTACCAATGAAAGGAAATCCCCAGCCTAAACCTTTCTTTTTTAAGTTAATTATCTCAAGGTATCTTGTTATGGCAAGAGAAAGGTGACAAACATGGTCAGCATACCAAGCTTTGGGGTCAGGGTTTCCTCCTAAATCCTCCAGCCCCATTTGGTGCATATTCAGTGATGAGAAACTTGTGGCCATTACCATCAGCCTGCCCCAACACAGTCGCAGCTAAGCTGCCTCCCGCTCAGAAGCTGGGGCCCACGCATAGCCGACTGCATATGGACTTAACCTGGGCTCCAAACGGTTTCATCAGTCAGAAATGTGATTTCTTATGTAGACTTGTCCCTAGAGAAAGTGATTTATCCCAGTGACATCATTTTGTGCCCTCCCCTCACTTCTCCCTCCTCCCAGCGATGTCCCAACAATTTGGAAATGCATCTTTGTGGTTGCTGATGATGACTGAGACAGTGTTCACCACCAGGCTTGGCCGCATCTTTTATTGTCTTTTGGAAACAGTGACTCGGGATTCCTTAAGGATTGCTTGATTGGGGGAAGCAACAAGTCTGATGATCAAGGAGGCCAAGTTATCTTAATTGGAGAGGGTACCAGTTGTGATCGGATGCAGAAAGAGGCATCTACCGAAACTATGTAGCATTTTGTTCTGAAATCCATTTCGAAAGAGAAGTGATCTAAATGTTTTAAACAAAAATGCCCTAGCCAAAAACCCTGAACCTCCTCTGGCCAACAGTTTGGAATCTCTCTTCTCACTAGGACTCACCTTCCGTGACCGACAGTAGCTCTCGGTTTAATGGGTTTGGCTATTCTTTTAAGAGTTGAGAAGTCTTTCTTGGGCCAGTAAGATGGGCCGCTTGAGCACAGCACTTGCCCCACAAGCCTGACAACCTGAATTTGATCCCTGGAACCCATGTGGAGGTGGAAAAGAGAGACCCGACTCCCAGACGATCTCCACCGGTGTGCTGTGGCATGTGTGCCCCTTCACACAATTAACTAAATAACTTTGAAAACATTTTTAAAGGGTTTTCTGGTTTTACATAGAAAATGAGTCTCTCTGTGTGTTATTACTACTAGAAAATAACCAAGATGCCATGAGATCTGAGGCCCTAGATGCCTGGTAGATTTGGCGTAAGCTGGTCCTGAAGGTGGGTGATATGCAAACCCAGCCAATGCCAGGGGGACCAAATAAGACATGGCTTTAGGACCAGTGATTGCTCCGCACTCCTCATACTTCTGAGGTGAAGCAGATAGGCAGGTATGGCCTGAGAAGGTGAAGCCAAAAGAGAGCAAGGAGACAGTTTTGTCTTCTTCTCACTGGGGTAAGTATTTGTCCCCTGGGGGCCATTCAGGATGTGTCCTACACCAGGAGACAGGAGAGATCAGGGACCATCCAGTTAAATGGAGCCACAAGCACTCAGGTAAATGCTCTAAAAATGTCCCCACTCACAGGGTGACATCTATGTGAGAAGATGGGGACAGGAACTTCAGCTAAGGCTGTTCCGGTCCTCTCCAGGAAGCTAAACCTGTCCTGAGATCTTCCATTACCATTCTCTCACCAGCCTCCACCACCAACTCCAAGGTGCCGCCTGCCAAAACCATGAAGGGGAAACCTCATGGGTAGAGGCAGCCTTTGGTCCACTAAAAAGAGAATGAGCATCAGTCCTTCTAGAAAAGAATTCTGAGGGGAAGAGGAATACAGATAAATTTATTAGTTAAATACTGATTTTACAGCCATTTCACCTTAAGACAATGTTAACAGGTTGTGGAGGCGGGGAGGCATGGAGGGCAGCCTTGAGGAAGAACACAGTGTAAATGATGATTACAACAGAATCTTGGTTCAAAGCTATTCTCTGCTACGGCCGGTAGGCTTTAGGGGTGGGGGCTGGGAGTTTGGGGAACAATGGGTAATGCCATAGTTGGCTACAGCTCTGTGGGTGATGAGGACAAGGAAGAATCTTTGGGGGCCCCAGTAATGGGAGAGGGAGAAGGCCAATTCTAGGACAGCTATAAGCATGGCAATCCCATCAGGCCCCGAGACATCTTCCATCCGTCACCTTTGTCCTTTCACAAATTTCGCTTTGTTGTTTTCTGCTTTGAATTTATGTTGCAAACACTCTGTATTTCCTAGACAAAGGATCTGTGCTGGAGAAAGGCCCAGATCCAGGTAACTGACTTGAGAGGCCATGGCTTGGCAGGCTCAGAGCAAGCAAGCTGGGGTCCTGGGGACAGGATTGTGCGGTAGACACAACCTCCAGAGGGACCCAAGGTGCAGATGAGTGCAGTCACCAACCTGCTTTGGTGGCCGGCTTTGTCCCTCCGTGGAACCCCTGCACGTGGCGGGGTGAAAAGGGACACTGGGAGCAGCACCAGGTGGCACTAGCCTGCTACACAACTGAGCTCTAGCTTTGCAGGGGGTGGGAGATGTTCAGGCTGGAAAGCAAGGGGTTTAATGTTGGAGTTCCTGGGAGAAGGAAGGGAAGGCACCACTGCTGGGCTGTGATTGGATGAACATCCTGTGTGATGGGCCTTCTCCACCATCTCCCCAGGGAGCACTCGGTAACATCTGCATCGCAGCCAGCACTTTTGGAGTCAGATCTGGTATGGGGCATGCAGGGACACGCCATGCCTCAAGGGGAGTGTTGGACAAGGGCAGGGCTGCCGCATCCAGTCCACATCAGGTAGACACCCTGCTCAGGCTGTAGACGGTGTCTGGAAGCCCCGGGGCCCCTATAGCCACCCTAGGAGCACAAGGAAAAACCCACTACCTAGAACCCCTGGGGTGAAGGGTTGGGTGAAGGAGATTATGTCTCTGTCCTGGACAGGCAGGTGGAGAATGAGAAAGAAGTCTCCTGCTACATTGAAGAACCTCACTGTGCTGTGCTCACAGTGAAGGTGGGCTCCGTCTCTAAGAATGCAGTCTCTTTCCAGCGCTCCACCTGGAAAGGGTGTCTGAAGAAACCCAGCACCCACATCCCTAAGCGATTGCCAACAACTTCAAGTTCTACCCAGTTGTTCTTCGGGAGTTATTCCCAGACAAAGGGGCTGGCCAACGTGCCCCAGCCGCAGACTTTGCTGGCCCCCAGGTCCCAAGTCCGAGCAGGAATTTGAAGAGGGAGAGGGGATGATTACGCGGTAATTATGTCCCCATGACTGTCAGCCAGGACCAGGCTGTTCCAAGAGTCCTGCTTGGAGCTGGCCTGTGATGTCTGAGTGACAGGAGATGCATAGCCTTGTGGGGAGAGCTTCAGAGCCGACAGCACTGGGTGGATGGAGGGCCCGTGGCCGGACACAGTACTGACAGAGAATGCCTGGAAGGCAGAAAGCACAGTGAGTCAGTAGGATGCTCCTGGGGGACCAAGGACCAGGGCTTGGGAGAGGATGAGGGAGTAAGCACTCAGCTGCTTCCCTAGGCCCTAGGGCCCAGCTACAGGGGTCCGTGTGCTTCCACAGCGGCTCCTGAGCACAGTGCAAGCACAGCCATGACCCAGGAGTTGTGTGCTGCTGTTTTTTTTTTTTTTTTTAAAGGCTCTGACAGCCGAAGGAGACACTCCCATCACCACTTCCAGGTCAAATAGAGGTCTTCCTGGTCAGACTGAAGTCATCCTCTCCATCCTGAAAGGGTCCTGGCACTTTTGTTTCTGTGAAACCAGGCTCTCTCTGGTTCGCTCTCATGGTAGAATGCCCAAACAGCCTCTCACAATTAGAGGTAGTGGGGCTGGAAAAAAAGAAACTGTGACTTCCTTATCCCCAGAGAGGCAGAGGAACGGCACCATCATCCCTTCAAGAGGGCATGGTCCCCTGCTGTGCCATTCCAGAAGGCTCTCAGGAAGCTGGAGCTCATGAAAATAGCTTCCTGCCCACCACTCACCCACCCTGCCCTCTGTGGTCCCCAAGTCTGTGCCCTGCTAACAGGGTCCTCCTGGCTTCTCCTCTGAAAAGCCTTCAAGGCCAAGGTCAACACACTTCGAGCTCTAGGGTCCAAGTTGGCTTCCAACCCCAACACCCAAGTCTGACTCAGGGAGTTGTGCACATGCATCCTGGGTGCAGTCCCTGCGTCCTTCTTCTTCCCAAGGGCCACAGCACAGGGACGATGCTAACCATGTGGTATTCTCTGTGTCCAAATCATCACCGCTGAGGGACAAGAGATACCAAGGACTCCGAGGCTGGGCTCTTTGGGGCTCAGCAGCTCAGGGTCAGGCTACAGCTCACCTCCCAAGGCTGACCTGGCCACTAGGCATCGAGAGTCTGTTCTCCATTAGCCGGGTCCCACACCCACCTGGGATATGGAGGTACTGTTGTGCCCATAGGGAGATGACAGCCCAGGCTCTGTCTTGATGGGGCGCATCTCTTCGCTGCTGCTACTGCTGCTGCTGGTGGCGGCGTTGTTGGAGTTGCTGGAGGCGCTGCTGGTGGGAGGGAGGCTCTCACCAGGAGGACCTGCAAGGAGGCAGAGTCAGGAGACCCAGTCCAGCTAGCTGCAGGGACAGAGCCCCTATTTACATTTGCTGGGGACAAAAGCAAGGAGCCTTACGGTGAAGAAGAGCGGTTCTCAAAATGGCACAGAAGCATCCAAATTCCGAGGAGACTATTTTACCTACTTGAAACAGTGTCTGATGTAGTCCGGGCTGGTCTCAAACTCACTATGTAGCCAAGGATGCCATTGCACTGGTTTTCCTGCTTCCACCTCCTGAGTGCTGGGATTACAGGCCAGTTTATGGAGTGCCAGAGATTGAAGCCAGGGGCTTCGTGTGTGCTAAGTACTCACTGAGCCACATCCCCAGCCCCAAGGGAACTTTTTCAGAAGACTCATGGCTCTAGATCCATAAACTCCGGAGACCACATTCTGTTTGAGGATTCCACACTCTCAGTGTTGTTTTTAAATGTAAATACTATCTATTTCAGGATACTGCCAGAGGGTTCTCAGACAACAACCTATAATGAACTATATTAATTTCTCTGTAGCAAAATGTGAACAGCCACACTGCTTGGGATAAGTGGAGATTACAAGTGGCCTGGGCCACTCCAGAACAGGTCCTGCTACAGAGTTTATTTTTCCTGGATTCCGACTTAGAGGTTGAGGGCTACACCCCTGAGCCCAGGGGCTCTGCTGCAGCCACAGTCCCGGAGGCAGGAGAGGGTAGGACAGGACCCCTGGGGAGTGGCAGAAGGTCCAGGTAGGAACTACTTCTTCCAGAAGCCCCTGTTTAATGTAGGAACCTAGAATGCTGGCCATGCCTTTGGTGGTGAAAATGGGCAACTTTGTGAAGCTGCCTGCTTGGCACCGGTGAGAAGGTGAACTGTCCATATCACATGAGCCAGTTCATTTCCTCTGCTGAAGCCAGTCACATCCTAGTTTGGTAGTGTGGAGCACAGAAGGCTCTGGGTAGGGGGACATTCGTGACCCCCCCCTCTCTCATATATGTATATATATGCACACATATATATATACATACATATATATGTTAATTTATTTTCATTTTATGTGCATTGGTGTTTTGCCTGCATGTATGTCTGTGTGAGGGTATCAGAAGCCCTGGAACTGGAGTCACAGACAGGTGTGAGCCACCATGTGGGTGCTGGGAATTGAACCTGGGTCCTCTGGAAGAGCAGCCAGTGGTACTCTTTCCCATTAAGCCACCTCTCCAGCCTTGCAACACTCTCATTAATCTAGAAGTTAAGAAGGCATTGCCAGGTGTGTCGGCTCATGCCTATAATCCTAGCACTTAGGAGGCTGAAGCAGGAAGGTCATGAGTTCAGGGTTACTCTGAGTCACATAGAAACTAGGAAGACAGAACAGCATATTGAACAGACTATTGAACCCGGAGTGAACATTCAAGATCCCAGTCAATAGCGATGTGATTTTAAGTCATTACACTTGAGCCCCAGTTTGTTTATTAGGAAGACAGACTAACAGACTGCTTCTGTGGGGTCTTGAGGAGATCTCTGAAGGAATGTGTGCAGGTTCAGAGCACTATGTGACATTAATGTTCCCCGATTACAGATCAATCTGTCAGGAGCATGACATAATGGGAACTTGTCTGATTTGATCACAGCATCAAAGATGGGGGCCAATGAGCAACATTACTCTCTCAGGCCCCACACTGGTCCAACCAGCCTATTGTAAGGTACTGCCTTCTTTGCTGGGTTATCTTTCTGTTCTGAGAGAAGAGGTTGGAGGAGGAGGAGGTTACCACCCTACCCTGGTAGCCTACCAGAGCAGACATGGTTCTCGAATGCTCTGGGAATGCTTGACTTATTCACATACTCACACACAGACCTATTCCTCACCTGCTGTTGTCTTAGATTTATTCAGGTTCTTGGGCTTTCGTTTTCTGGTTTGAATTCCCTCCTTCCGCATTGCAAGAGGCCTGGGTACCTGAAAGGGTGGAAGTTAATATATGACTTTCCATTTGCAGATGTCTGCTATGGTATTGAAACTCTCTC